GCAGAGCTTCAGAGGCAACACTTCAGAACTTGTTACTCTCATAGAATCAATGCAATAAGATAACATATCACCCATCCTCCCGTTTCCACTAAATCAAATGGTCAAATGGTGCTCCTTAAAGAAACAAAATCTTTACACCAGAGGACTCTTGTCACAGGGAGCAGTATGCTGCTCTTACATGACCTGGGACTGTGGCTGAGAAGCATGGCGAGGCTACAATGTAAGCATTTTTAGCTGGATATAAGCAAGCATGCACTTACTGTTGGTTGCATAACATATGGCGGATGAGGCATCCATGAAGTACTCTGGACCTGCATATCAAACACTTTTAATTAGTACAGAAAAGTTGAAAACTTAAAAGATTTGCTTGAAAATATTGTCTCTATTACAACTACGGAGCTGATTTTATCCAAAGATTTAAGCCACATAACACAAAATTAATTTACGCTTCATAAAATTCTTGACAAAGGAAAAAGCCTTCAAATTTCATGTGATAATGTTTTCTACCAAAGTCAGAAGTATGAGTGATTGCATCCCTTCTATGATCCACACCATTTTATCTCACAAAGCAGTATTCAATATTCCATGTTATCCTATTTTCTTCATTTCTATTGTTTGCTTTCATTCATCAGTGTAATCATGAACATGTATTCCAACTGACAGTTGCAGGAGACATAAAATGTTCAAAGTTTATTGTCAGAAGTTTCTGTATGAGCTTTTAAAGGTATAACACTTTCAAGATATTCCAGAATGATTTATACTGTTTTCAGTAAGAACTGCAGATCTAATTCAGAGTTTTTGAAGCTTATTCTAATTGAAAGCTCTCACGGAAAAGCTGGCTTAAGAAGTCTCTGTCCCTCCAAGATCATTCTTAGCTTGTGTTCCCACCAGAATTCCATTTGTCTCACCAAAGTCTTTGTTATTCTGCCTTATGACTGACATGTAACATTTTCCAAGGCGATAACAATTTCACTAACAATTAAATACATTACAGAGTGTTTGCATATTTATAGTGGCATCTCTGAGGCATAAGTCTCTCTTGTGTAATGTGTGAATGGCCCATATCATATCATAACTCAGACTCAACTCCAAGAATTGTGTATCCTAGTTTCCTCTCGCATCAGTCTAGGTTCTACAACACATGAGAAGGACACAAAAATGTAGCTGTGCTGCAACTATCAGTATGCACCTCACTTGCTACCCCAGGCTCACAGAGATGGGCATGTAGTACCTCACACTGAGCATGAATAACAAGGAGAAACCTACAAAGTCTCAATTCTCCAGATGCCCTGTGCTTTTGGTCATGAAGAAAGTGGTAAGAATTAATTGTATATCTGTGTGCTTCAACATTTATATATATTTACTAAAGCATATTTTTTGTTGAAAAGCAAGTTTAGTGAAACATCATTAGAACCAAACCTAGCACATGGACATGCAAACACACCTCTAGAACAAAATTTCATGTTGTGAATCCCCATGAGTTAAAATACTCTAGAGCTGTCACAGCTTGTTGCTGCACATTGCACCTACTCTAGCACTCTTCCATTTCTTTATTGGTGCCAAGGCAAGTGCCTTTGGGCTTACACTGCAAACTACCTAAGGAGAATTATACAGGTTTAAAAAAAATAAAAAAAATTGAATGGTTTTGGTGCAAACATATAAAACCACAAACTGATGCAATGGTCCAAACCAGAATGGGAGAAAGGAGCAACTCTGAACTGTGGAGCAATGTTAGGAATAAGTAGCTGGGTGGCCTAAATATGAGGGAAGAAATCTGACTCTTAAGCCAGCTTTGCTACTGAGAAAAATGCATGTGAGCTGCACTCACATGTTTCTGACACTGACACCTCTTTGGTGTTGCCATTTACTGAAATTTACCTCATCATAATAACTTTCGTTTGGCAAGTGCTACATAGCCATCTTAAAATGGCTAACTAACACAAAGGTCAAAGAAAATCACAAGGATCAAATATTTTTGAAGATCAAGTTTAAAGCTCAGTAACCTCTCCGAATTACCTGTAAGCAGTAGCATACCATCCCAAAACCACCACTCCCAACAAACCAACCCTAACATTAAGAACAACTCGCCATGCAGCTTTGCAAGTTTGGGTAGCTTATTTCAGGTAAGACTCAGGACTGGAAGAGCACTGAAGCCACAGGACAGAAATAACTACAACTGGAAAATATATAGCCAATGACCAGCTTCTGTGAAGTGATATCTTCCCAGAGACTGGCTGACAATAAAACAATACAACCTGGTTTTGACTTCTATCTCAGAAAGCCAAAACAAGACAATAATTTCCCAGTGGAGATCTGTGAGGGATACGCTGAAAAGAGAAATCCTGAACGACAAGGTGTGTAGCAGACTAAAGAAGGATATGAGGACAGTTATCCCGAAGTAATTTGCTTTGTCAGGGATTACTGGATAAAAATGAGAGCTTTTAAAAGAAGCTGTTACCGGAGCAAATGCAGTTGAGGTCAAAAGGTCAAAGTACAATGACATCAACATAAATTATAAAAAAAGCACATTAAAAAAAAATTTGGTTTATGAACGGGAGCCAAAATGAAAACATTTCAAGAAGAATGATAAGCTCCTGGTCTTGTCAACAGGAAATTAAGCAAAATGTTGTTTACTAGAGAAGCTGATTGACATAAAAAATTACAGTGGCTTTTACTACTACTGTAAAGAATGCAAGAAACACTTAAAACTCTACACCTAGTGATACTGGAATATTACTAGAAAGCCCTTTGTTTAAAGTGTGACTCAGGAGTGCAAACACTCACACAATTTTCTGCGGTACACACTCTGCCTTCATCCACATCCAAAACATAATTAACTGGGAAACATAGTAGACAAGTGCAAATCTGACGTACCTGATATGTAGAGACAGGGGAAGCAGCAATGAATGGTGTGATTGATGTCTGTGGAATCATGCGGTTTGTTGGAATACTGTACGGTGAAGAATAAAATCTGCAAACAAAGAACAAGAGCAAGATTTTTTGAACCTTTAGACTGCTGAGGCTCTGACTAACTCACTGCCTCTCAAGCAAAGACAAAAAGAGTCTACACAGGTAATTATGTCCATCTATTCCCAAAACCACAATAAAGAAGATGTGATGGCTCCATTGAGCAGATCTTGAAAATGGAAAAGAGGAGGAATATTTACACAAAGCGTATTTTTTCACTTCAACTAGCACAAATATAGAACTTCACGATACAAGATGCAATTATCGGAAATGCAAAGACAGCTGATTTTCCAGAGTGCTAGCTACTGAAAGGAAATTTCTTATGTGATATCGAAGACAATATTACTGATTTCATTTTTACATGCAGTACTGTTTTCTTTTCAGATCTTAATGCTTCAGTGCTGAGAACAACACATTCTCTATACATGCCTGAATTATTTTATTAAAGGATGGCTACAAAATCTCTGGCTGAAATTTTCATATTCATCTAGGCAGAGAGAAAAAAAACCTTCGTCTGGTGAAATGTATGAGGAATTATGAGGCTAAATGCCCCAGGCACCACTGAAAATCTCAGATTTAGTTGGTTTTATTTCCACCGTTGCATACTATGAACAAAAGTTGCTCTATCTCTTGCTTGATGGCAACAAATGTTATAATATTGTTTCTCCTTCCCTGTGGGTTAATGATTATTGATAAAATTATCACTTGGAAAATATCACTACTGTTGGGTTGTGTAAGTACTTATTACGTGTGTGCTTGTAAAGATTCTTGCATTTGCCTTTTTTTCAGTTTTAACTGTAAGCCACAACAACAAAATTGCTTTAAAAAAATGTTTGTGGTCTTATAGTTGTTGAAATGATGGTATTTTGGACTCTGAGAGAAACACTTTTGCGCAGTGTTCTCTTGTCTGATTTAAACCTCATGCCGACCCTTTTCATCTAGCATGCAGCAATGAGTAACACAAGATTCTGCACAGTGAAGTGGATTGCATTCCCTGGGTTGTTTTATTTCTTTTGCCTCCCCACTCTGAGGCAATCAACAGTAGCTTTCCATGAGAGCTATGCAAAAAAAAAAATCGTTACCGGTGTTTAAACAAGTGCTTTATTTCCTGATGGCCCTGGCATCACGGATTTAGTACTAATCAGTCTAGTTCAGACTGGATGCATTCATTCTGGATGCAGGCTCAAATAACTACCAACTTCAACCAATAGCCTTGGAAAAACAGGCTGCTGTCTTTGAAGGCTGGGCAGAAACATTTGAAGTTAGGAGGGGAGAGGGAGGCAGAGAAGCAATCATTTGTTCTCTCTATTCCAAATCAGATTTTAAAATGCCAAAAGCAGCAGGTGGCGTCTGAGTGTTTAATAGAAATATAATGCTATTTTAGGACCATTTATCTGCCCTTACAGTGCTCGCACAGAGACTATTTTAAAACTGTGCCTTTGCCTGATTTTATGTATACCCTATTATGAGAACTTAGAGGCATTTGTATCCCACGGCTTATGTCAAACATTAAGTTCACACAACACTGGAGGAGAAAGGATTTTTACACCACTAGCTGGGTGCATCTATGGCATTAGCATGATGCATATTATCTAAGTCCTTTTACAGAGATCTTCTCCCAGATCAATGTTAACCAGAAATCACTAGGGCTATACTGTTGCTAAGTGGATGAATTTAGAAATGCTGTGTGCAGCACATGAAAACAGTCAATGACAGACTGACAGAATTTAGTCTATGGGTAAAATGTATAATGCATAGAAATACATAGAAACCTCTAAAACTAAAATACAATGTAACCTAAACCTCTTTTGAGAAAATAACAGATTTTTGTTCATTCTGTTTTCATTCCATTCATCAGCCTGGCACTGATGCTGGATTCATACTCATACCACATATGAACTGCTTGGACAAAGACAAGTACAGGAGAGAAACAACTTTCCATTTGGAAGTAGTGCTGACTCTTTTGGAATAAACTCTCCAATAAATCCCAGCAAATACTAACAAATTTACAGAAAATGTGTGCTAATCCAAGACCTTGACAGACAGCTCGCCATTTCAGTTTCAGCTTAGAGATGCAGTTATCTGAATCGTACATAAGCTTCTAGAATATACACTATGGTAATGTGAAAAATACAGCTCTTCCAACACCCCTGCCAACACCATTTATCTGTCACCATTTGGAACACTCTCAAATAAGCATCAAATAAAACATACTATCAGGACACTCAACTATATGGTGAAAATTTGTGCACCAAAGCATCAAGGAAGAGAAAGGAAGAAAATGTGATGCCGCAAATGACAACGTGAGAAAGTTCAGTTCATATATTTCAATTTTAATAATAATAAAAAATCAAATTTAACAATCTGTGTCACTGTGACAGGCTGTAGGGCAAACATCTTGAAATCAGGAATCTCCTACATCCAGAGACAGACTTGTCTTTTTGCCACAGTGCTACTTGTGGCCAAAGGGATCTTAAAAAAAAGGACGTGGATATCTCTGCCACATGTGAAGTAGAGCGGTATGGTGAGGATAGGGGATGTCCTTGCTGGGGACAGAATTAAGAGGAGCCACTCTCAGGCATGGGATGTTCAACCTACCACAGTGCTGGAGCCATGCACTGCCATGGCAGGGCCTGTTGAGAAAGAGGGCTCAGCATGTCCTCACTCATGGGACACAGAGGCATCTCCCTAAATTCCATTTAGATACAAATAGGCTCATGCCCTATTGAATTGGCACAAGTAACATGCTGGTGCTCTAATAAAAGATAGGGGCCACAAAAATGCAAGACTGGCCTGTTCTGGTGTAAATCCTACAGCATGCCAACAAGATCTGCAGCTGGTGGCATTGCCATATTCAGTCTTACGCTCTACTTTTTTTTCTCTCTTTTTGTTTTGTTTTGTTGTTGTTGAGGTTTGTTTTTTCTTTTCTTTTTTTTTTTGTTTGTTTTGGACCAGGGTGAGGTGAAATGAGGTGCAAGATGCATGCTGTAAGTTCATTCAAAAGAATACAGGATTCTCAGTCATCAGAATATCTATATCAGAAAGAGGAGTGGAAAGAGATATGAATTATAGTGGCTTTGACTCATTTTAGATATATTAAATTATGCACAGTACCTAGTATGGTACTTTGAGGGCTGTAGGCTTTGTGGTATTTGACCTGTGAGCTCTAAGGAGACGTCTCCAAAAGGCTCAGATGCATTTTCTGCAAATGCAGTTTGCATCTTTATAATGCTCTGTGCAGTTTTTTGCAGGTGCAAGATACTGTCCTTGCTCCTCAGCTGCAGTTGCAATGCTAGAAGCACAAGTGTCCAGGTGACAAGGGCAAGGCAAAATGGACATCACCCTTGTATTAAAAATAGACTTTTTCAGCATGCCCAGGTTCCGTAAGCACAGGGGAAACTCATCACTAGGAGGCAAAAAGATGCTCCTGAAAAGGGGTTTATAAAGGGCTCAAAAGAATACATTTTTCAGAGATGTTAAAATGAACCATGTTTCCAGGACATCATCAGGCACACAGAGGCAATGCTTTAACAACATTTTCTCTTGCTTAACAGACAAAGCACATACTCCCCTGCTACATCAACCCTCCCTACATATTTGGGGACTGCATTATCTGCAATGTCTGGTTGCTATTTCCCTGCCAAGAAGCAGAAAAAAAATCCATATGGTTCCCATCCTATGGGGAAATGTGCAAGCTTCCACACAGAATCTGCACAAGAGCAAGATCCTATTTGCACTGCAATAAACACCATTTGCTCATGCCTTGTGCCTGCGGGCAGTACTGAAAAAGTTAGATTCATAAATAGTATCCTGGGGCTCACATAATGTAAGAGTATTACCAAGCATTATCAAGGCAGCAATTTTCTGTTGCAATAAGCCACACAGTCAGATGTTTGAGTTGGAAAAGACCTATCTGAATATTGAGCCCATTGGCCAGCAAATGCACAGTATAGTCCCCTAGATATCAGATATTAAACTGATACAGTACATCATAGTCTTAGTCAAATGGCCAGGAGGACTCAAGCTTCAGGAACATTTTAAATGAGCTTCCTTACAGTGCAAGTACAAGAGCTCTATCTTGTTCTTTGTATGAGTGCATAAAACTACTAAAACAATGTTAATGTCACAAATTGAAAAGTCAATAGCATATTACAACAGGCATACTACTCCCCAAAATAAAACTTGAGTACCTTTGTCAATGCAATTCAGAAAAGGCTGATTATAAAACAAAAAAAAAAAGAGGCACAGAGAGATTTGCAGGGGGAAAGTGTTTATCTACTGAATTATGTGCTTACCATACCTTCAGTAACTCATACTGCAATGCTATGGTACACTACGGGCTGGATTCTCCACTCCATTATACTAGTTTTATGCTGATGCAACTCCACTGGATGCTTAAACAGAGCTACATGAGCATAAAAACAATATAATGAAATGGAGAATCAAGCTTTACAATGTAATAGACTCAGAAGAAAATTATCTGTTCTTTAGTGGGGAAAAAATCTTAGTTATTTTTAGTGAAAGCCTCTTTCTCACTCTCTTTTGTTTTATACCTACTATAGATTTTCAAGGCAAATATGCAGTTATACAGTAATAAAAGTGATAGTACCACACCATGAGCAATGAGAACCCACCTTTTCATTTGGAAACAAGAGTCTAGATTCTTCCCTGAGGCTTGGTTATGGTCCAACTCAAAAACGAATATAATTTATGCCTCTTCAGAAACTGCAAATATTAAATACCATTCCATGACACCTGCAGACACGTCTCTCTAGTAGGCTTTCATCCTCCATATAATTCTGTGTGGACTTACATGCATCAAAATGCATCTATCAACCATATAAAGGTTCTATAAAGAACTCTAGTAGATGTCAGCATGTGCAGTTAATATTTCTGTTTAATTTTATTGGTAAGTTATAACTCTTCTGAATCACCACCTTGACTTTGGTATCTTTTCATTTCCCATCCCCAGCCTCAGTTCACTAAGCTCCACACTGGTGGGCACCCACAGGTCTGAGTGACTCACGCTTATCACAGCACACCAACAAGTCCTGAGCTGTGTGCAGGGTCAACACCTGCTTCACCAGATCATTAAACTGCTACAAGGAGTAGCAGTACAGTCTAAGTTTTACAGGTCTCTGAGTAACATTGCTCCATGCAAACCTTAAGGGCTTGGCCCACCTTACTGCCAAAGTATTATGCAGTATTTTATGTGCAGGGTGGGTGTGGGCGAAACATCAACACAGTGGGGGGCTGCAAGCAGCAGCTTTGTGCTCATCTCCAGACTGTACTTACAGTGAGGAAGAGCAATGTATTTGCCCTTCACTGACAGCTGAGCTAACCTATTTTACTTCCTAGTGCTTAAGAGCCTTAAAGTCTCCATGGCCACGCACTTGCTGTGATGCCTGTGTCTTGTGTCAGCAAGCAACAAATTGCATTCATGCATTTTACAAGCAAAGCATCGAGGTGCTCCTGGATTTAACGAAAACAAATCCCATGAGCTACATTTTTATTGTACTTACAAGTAAACAGGTTTATTAAAAATAGTAAAAATTTATAAGTGAGGGATACATAGAGACTACTACATGAATCGCTGGGGAGATAAAGAAAATCCAGTGTAACCAAAGGGTCCTGGTGATCCTTAGGTTACAGCATTTTAAAGTTGCAACCAAAGGACGGAAAAACAATTGTGCAATTTTTGATGGACAAATTGATTTTTCCACATAGTAAGAGCTTCTCCTCATGCTACTGCATACAATCAAGATCTCACCACAAGAGCATTTTGAATGATGGTTTAGTTCTGATGAAACTGAAAATATTTTGACACTCTAGAAAGAAGTGATATGTCAAAGCGGTAATTAATTGTCACTCTTGGAGAGATATCTGGTACTGTAGCTTATTTCTTGCTTTACAAATAAAAGAATATTTAAAAAAATGCAGAGCTAAAATTCTCCATTGGATACTATTTCTTTTCCCATTGATCAGTGACAGTGTGTTCAAACAACTGAGTGACCAAACCATCTGAGCAGCCTGAACACCTGAACACCAGGGGTACTCTTTGATACAAATAATGTGTGAGTCTGAGATAACTTACATAACTTCAAAAAAATTTATTCTTGAAGTGGAATGATATTAGTCTCAAGGGAGCATTCAAATTACAGTTTCCAAAACATTCACACAACTGATATGCAGGAATTTATTTGAAATAAAAGCCAGTTGTTTGCATGAAACACTGGTGGATTATGAACCAGTGATGGTTTTATTTATAGACTAATATGTTTTACCAGCTGAAAATTATGACAATAGAGGTCATTTGGAGGTCAGAACAGGGAAACAGAACCAGAGGATTCTGAAATCACAAACTCCAAACTCTCTTTTCTTCTGAGTTTGGCCTCTTCCATCAAAACATGGGAGTAATGTGAGTCCTATAAAACTACTGTTTGTGAAGGGCAATTAAGCAAAACACACTAACTATAACTATTGATTTTACTTTTCTTAAACTACTAAGAATGTTAGAGTTTTTCCTGAATGCTTCAACTAGCAATGCCCTAACAAATATTTAACAAATAAACCTATTCTTATCTATATCAATTAATTTTTCCCTTCAGATGGAAAACACAGATGGGAGTATGCATGGAATTTGATAATTATATCAAACATCTCTCTGATTTAAGAGTGACTATCCGAACCTCCTGCTTCTCTTCAAACTGTTGTTAACCTATCTGAAAGGAAAGATAGATTTCAAGGATAGCTTTTTCTAGCTCATGACATAATTGGAAATGTAATCATGCAGGTAAATAATATGATGATGTAATTTCTCCGTTCAATTTGAGAAAAAGTTGCAATTCCTCATGTTGGCAAATGGTAGCTGAGAAATGAAGAAGAGTGTTGCTCAGAATTTTACCCCTAAGTCCCATTTGCTTACATACTAATTTAAGGCTTTCTCCCTATCTGGCACTTTTATTCAGACAATGCCATGGAAGCCAGCCAGCCTGCAGAGAGAACCCCAGATGAAGTAATAGCTCTATTATCCAAAATATGCTGGAATCTTCTATGATTATTTTAACAAAAGCGAAGTCAGTAAAGGGAAACTTTACTGGTTTCTACTTCATGACAGAAAGAGATTAAAAAAATATCCACTATCATTTGCCAAATAGAGATGGAAACTATTAGGAAAAATAACTTCCCATTCAAATGGATATTGCAAACAAGAGGGCAGAAAAAGAAAAGGGAAACTAAAAGAAGAACTTGACAATATAGCATTACATGCTTCAGACAGAATATGACTGAGTGAATTTGTTTCACTACAGAAAGAGAAAACAGAAAATGGTGTTCAAAATAATTTTTAAAAAGGCATAAGAAAACATGCATTCCTTACCCATTCTGTATAGCAGCTGTTGGATCGTAAGTCAAAGCCATGCCAGCCTGCACATAGTTAGGGAAGAAAAACAGATTTTTACTATTACTGCAGGAAAAAAAAAAAAGACATGAAACATATTCTAAGCCAATATGAACAAAAACTGAATGCAACTCAAATGGAAATCTAAATTCTCAAGGGAAGCTCAGATGGCCCAAAGCAGCATGGACAGATTGGCTACCTCCCCTGCCTGAGAGATCACTGAGAAACAGATCTGTTCAGCCTGTTGGTTGTCATCTTGCTACAACATGGAGGGCAAATGGTGTTTTTGTTGCACCCGTATCAGTTAATAACTCCACTGAGATCAATGTGTTTACAGCTGATTACTCACTATAATAAGACAGGTTCAAATCCCGCAGCTGCCTGTGAGACAGGTATTGGTAAACATTCCAAAGCCAACTTCATGAGAACTTCTCTGGAAGGAGTCTCATCTTTCCTACAAAGGTCACATCCTGCATGATCCCAGCCTACCATTTCCCTGTGGTGTCACTCATACTTATGGTTAATTCATTACCATGAGACAAGAAACAGAAAATAGGCTGTGAAGAAGAAAACCTTGAGCTTTTAAACAAGGCTTTTAAAATACTTCAGAGGACTGGACAGCAAAGAAATTTGTTAATGTGCTACATAGAGGTTTTCAACTGCCATTTACCACCAGGCAGATGGTGACCTGTGTAAAAGGATTTGGCAGTGTCAAAACATTGTCCAGCTAGTAACTGTCATCACTGCTACCATTAGCAGACATATCCACAGGTACCACAGGAAAGGCAGTGAGAGAGCAGGGCTGGAGACTGAATTTACTGCTCCACCTTATGCTCCAAGACAGCACTTAGGGTCATGCAGGAAGGACCATTTTTTCCCCCCAGCATTTACTTAAAGATGTGGAACTGACAATCTCTCCTCACACATACTGCATTTGCCTTGATTTTTTGTCTTCCTTATCTATTTTCCCCCTCCCTACTTGCCAGTGTATGACACAACCAGAAGATGGGAAGAAATTGCCCTTTGTACGGGGCTAGAAGCATAAAGAAGAGGAACTCCCATTACTCAAGGTGTTGCTTTCCCTTTGGGAGCAGCTGAAAAAAACACCATGGCACGATCCCTCCCCAATGTACTGTATTTCTCTTCATTTGTCATACATGTCATATATGCTTGTTGCCTGAGACAGGACATGGCAGCATTTTCTTCAAGGACAGGTGCTTTGCAAACCACGTGGCAGGATCTGTGCTCCTGCTGGGAGCTTTTAATGCCCCATAACCTGTCTACCACAGTACTTTTGAAAAATGGCATCTGCCCTCTTCCAGATGGCTGCTCAGACATGTCAGGAAAGTGTTTGGTCTTGGCTGGTTCCCATGCAGGCAGGTGAGCAGCCAGGGTAAATGCTCTGGTGGGGAGCAGGCAGAGAGTGGGCAGCACTCCTGGAAGAGCATGTTAACCCAGCAGCTGCACACTGGTCTAAGAGGAGATGGTCCAAGCTTCTAGAGGCCAAAAATAATTTGTGATCCGAAAGGCTAGGCTTCATGCTACCTTATGTTGCCAAAAAATGTCCATGTCTTTATTAAATTTGTATATTTTTCTCATTATTCTTTTAAGCAGATGCTAGGGCAAATGTTTTGCTATATGAAAATGCCACTGTTTTAATAAAATATGTAGTCTATCTGAAGCAAAGAATAATTCAGGAGACTAAGGCCAAGTACATGGGGCTATTTTAAAAAATGTATTCATTTCATCCAAAGAAAAATAAAATGGCTATTTCTGCAAGTTTAAAATGTCAAAGAACAGAATTTAGAGTGACCACAACCACTACTAATTTTGATGTAAAAAATAAATTACCTTAGAAAATTTTCATCCCTTACTTAACTTGGTTTTATATTCTTATGTCTTATACATTCTCAACATATTACACTGTTTGGTAAAGTTGCTTTAATTACTAATGGAAATGTATACAGTTCGACATAAAAGAGAGACAATAAAACTTTAATATCATATTTTTTTTTGTCTGCAATACATTTTTGATGAAAAATCCTGTCTTGTTTTTCTTTCTTTTTTCAACACTTATAAAATTTGTTATTGCTCTCTATTTATATTCCTGCACTGGTAAAGACAACTTAAATAGTATGCATAAGCCCTAGGGGGACAGAAAAATTAGCTCTAACAATTTATTTTTTAAAAAAATGCTTTTAAAAAAACTTAAGATATTCTCTATAAATCGAGGTGTTGACATTTTAACATCTCATCACACATCTACTCAAGACTTATGGAAAAAACCTCCTATAATTTTTTGGGAAAGGAGAGACCCAAGCTTTCTAAACTAGGGAGTTTCTAGATCTAATGGTCCTTAGAGCTGCCTGGATCAGAGGTCATCATATCCCACATCTCGCATTAGTGACATGGGGACAAAGTGGCAACGAGGGAGGGAGGTCTGTGAGGAAAGGCAAAAATGAACAATTGGTGATATTTTCATTTCTTTGACATAAATATTAATGAGGGTGCAGAAGGGACAAACAGCAGCAGGTCTTTTACTGGAGCCCTAATGATTTTCACTGTCCATGTGCGACCTGCAAACACATGTTTATGCTGCTTTCAGTCACTTTCCTCATGGATATTTAAGCACACAGTCCTTGCATGGCCCCTCAGCTTGCCCTCCAACCTCACCGCACCCCAGATCTGTGTGTAGGTACATGCAGACAAATTGCACGTACTCCATTCTCTATGTATTAGCATCATGCCCACTACATAGTATTGGTATTAAGAATAGGGAACACACAACAAAATGGGGTGAGTACAAAATATGAAAGGCTAGACACTCATCTCCTTATCCATGCTTCATATCCATACTGCAGGGAGACAGATTACCAGAATCCGTTCAAGCACTTCAGCAGTGACCGCTATAAATATCACCATCACATTTGCCAGTAAATGAAAGTTTCACATTAGACAAGCAGGACACAGCGTGTGGCAATACGTGCATATGGTAACCACCTACAGTTGGCCCAGTAATATTGCTAATATCCCCCACTGCTGAATAGCCTTAAACAGCTGCTATTTCAAATAGCTGCTAACACAGGACTATTTACTTCTTTCTCATCGACTTATGCAATTCCTCCCTAAAAAATTATGCTGGCTGGAAGCCCAGAAGTGGCAACGGTTAGCCTGGACCAGTCAAAGATTTATGGTCTGAAGCATCCTCATTCATCACAAATAAAAACTGATGAGCAATAATAACTTACTGGAAAATTGTCTGCACTTTCCTCCATAGCACACAAACAGGAATTCCAAAAATACCAAATACAGAATATTAGGGTTGGCCTCAGACTTCCAAGTGACAGAGGTCCAGCTTATTCTGTCAAAACCAGGATTGAATATAGCCATCACTGTGCTTAATACAAGCTGAACTATATCAAGTCACTGGCTGATGACTCTATAGCTGTCCTCTGTTGTGCTGAAGATTGTTTTCTTCTGGGTCTTTTCATCCACAGGTTTGCTCATGTTTCAGGTGACACAAAATAAAACCAGATTGTTTAAAATACTGATTTTTAAAAAAGACTATTTAAACCACATGAGTTAACTTATCTCTTATTTTTACCAAAGTGTCAGAACCTAAGGCAAAGGAATGAAAATTTTTGCTATTTTTTGCTGCAGTCTTCTAACTATTGACATTGGTGAACAAAGAGATTCGAAGAACAAGAAACTCGGTCTGTACTTTTTTTCAAATTTAAACTCTTTCCTTCAATAAAGAGCAGTAAATATAAAAAAAGCCTTTGGAAGGTAAGAGTTCCCCCAGGAAGTATGAAGGCCTTTGTTCAACACTTTACTGTGAAAACTTTTCCATGGGCAAAGACAAAGTGCTCTGTTTCTGGTGTTTTTTTCCCTCTCTTTGTTATGATTTGAACATAAATGACCACATTTGCCTCATTAAGAAGACTCTTAGACCATCACATTTGCATTTCTTATGTAAATTGGATTTGTAAATCTCTCAAAGAAATGATTAAGTTGTGGAGCGATTATTAAAAAAATGATCACATCTTCAATATCATGTGAAATGAGGTGGGTTTGTTGCTTCTCTTCCAAACCTCTGTGATGTCTCACAAGAACATTTACCAGTGCATTATCTGTCTTCCAGCAAACCTAAGTACCTGCAAATGACCAATTTCTTCTGTGCATCTTTTGTGCATTCCATCATCTTATGCGTTGTTGGGAAGCAGCTTTCATGAAGAACTTCACTGTGCATTCCATCATCTTATGTGTTGCTGGGAAGCAGCTTTCATGAAGAACTTCACCATCATTTCACCACCTACTCTTGGTGTACATGTCTTTCCACCACTGTGTGCAACAATTCACCACAAAATTGACCTGCTACAGAGATGTGCTATGCCTATTCCTCAGAGGTGAGACTTCCACATCATCTCCTTGAACTTGCCCTGGCCACCCTATGCCCAGTGCTGGAGCACCAGCGCAAGGCAAGGCTGCTGCCACAGTAGGATTTCATATTGCACCACAGTACCAAATTGGAGAGGCCTACAAATTAAAAAGGGGTGAAATGCTTGATTGTGGTGGATTTTCCAAAGAGAAGGTCCCCTGGATTTCTCCTCTTTAAGGTGAGATTTGGAAAGCCAAGGTTGTACACTTGGACTCAAGGGCTTTCTGTGGCGGACTGATGTGCGAGTTAGACCAGAAGGTAAGTATCTCTTCCCCATCTCCTGTGAATCATACTTTCATCCATTCACACTGGAGGACACCCAGGGGAATGGGTGTGCTCTTGGCTAATCAATTCAAATTTCACCACTAAAATTGCTGTACTTGTTTTGTTTCCATTGCTAATATCTGCCAGGCATCACAACAAAAGGTTCTCCTGTACCCTGACAGCAGATACTGACTGAAACTCTTTGAAGGAGGAAGAGAGAGTAAAGGGGAAGAAATCAACATAAATGAGATTAATTTAAAATACTGATTTAATAAATAAGCTCAGTCTCCAGTAAAGTTAATTTGGCAGAGTTCCTTCCTTTGA